CAGGGCTGCAGCTCCTCCTGTGTCCCAGGCTGCTACTGGGGGCACTTGCGGCCTGTCCCCAGCATGCCGGGCCAGGGCGGGGCCCCAGCCTCTGTCCACACCTCCGAGGGCCACTGGCCCTGAACTTCGGGCAGGATCCCGGGGGCAGTGGCGGTGTGGAGTCGGGTGGGCGCTGGGCCTGGCGCGGGCAGCGTCTCTTTGCAGGCAGTGTGGGGAGTCCTCCAGCCGTCACCGCTGTCAGTACGGGGAGTGGGGTGCCCCGCCCAGCTGCCATGGCCACAGGGCCCTCAGGGTTGGGCTGGGCTCCCTTTGAGGAGTCCCTGGGGCGGCCCGGCCTTCCCAGAGGGGCTGGAGCCTGCAGTGGGGGCCCCCAAGATCTTGAAAGAGGTGCTTGGGGGAGACAGAAGGCCCCCCAGGCCTCCGGCGTGCTGAGACTGGGAGCGCAGCCTCTGCCTGTCCGCCAGGAAGTGGGAGCGGCAGGTCCCAAGGCCTCGGCCTGGAGCAGTGAGGCCAGCTGGGGCCAGGAGGGCAGCCCCTGCTCCAGCTCTCATGCCCTTAGCTGCCTGGCACCAGGCGAGGGGCGGCCAGCTGCCCTTGCCCCCTCCCAGGCCTGTGCCTGCTGGGCCCCTGCCCCCTCCCCTCGCCCAGCCCTGGCTCCCCCCCGTGCCCTCCGGCCACCCACGGCTGAATCTGCAGGGGCCGCCTGCCGCTGGGGTGCGAGGGGGGTGCCAAGGTCCCGATGCCCTGCCGCCAGGGGCTGCATCCACGCCAGCCAGCACCCCGGGGCGTGCACCCCATGATTGGGGCGGTGCCGGCCTGGGCAGGTGGGAACAGTGAATGGGGCCGGGCGTGGCGCACGGACCTCAGCCTCACGGCCAGGGCCGCCCTGTCCCCCACCCCGAAGGCTGCGCTGTGGACCCTCCCTGGGTGTGGGCAGGGCGGGCAGGGGCCGGGCCCGGGGTGGGGGGCGGCTGCGGGGACAATGAGGGGAGCTCTGGCCTGCCTCCTGCGTGCACACCCTGTTGGCGCCCTGGGGGCGGGGAGGGCGCGGGGCGGGCAGCGTGTGTGCGGCCGGAAGTGTCCCAGCCCGCCCTTGTCAGGCGGCGCCCCGGTCCTGTGAGCTCGCAGACGCAGCTGCTGTGGATCCTGCTGCCCAGGACGCAGGCCCTCCAGCCACTGGGAGCCGGGTGCACCCTGGGGGCCGTGAGGCCCTGCCCCCTCGCTGCCGCCCCGCCCTCGCCAGGGCATCTTCCGGGAGGCCCCGCGGGACAGCCCTGCCCGCCCACCAGTGCCTGCTCCCCGCTGGAGCCGCTGCCAGGCGTGGCCTGTGCACAGCCTGGGGTCCTGCCACCACCCCACCGCCCCACCCCGGCTGGCTGGGCAGCCCGCTTTGCGTTCCCATGGAAAGCCTGTCCGACCCGGGCTGGTCCAGGCCTGGGCAGCTGTGCAGCGGCCAGGCAGCTATTTCTGGCCCCGAGAATTCCTGCCAGAGCCGGCCGGCCCCTCGGTGGCCGGTCATCTTCCCAAGGGCCCCTCCTGGCTCTGTGCCCCCCGCCCACGCCTTTCCCTTCCAGGGTCTGGGGGTGTGCCCAGTGCTCATGGGGGGCAGGGCTGGCGGGGCAGGGGCTGTCCCTCCACCTCCGCGTCCCAGAGCAAGGCCAGCCGAGGGCCGCTCCTCGGAGCATGGGTGTCACTACCCCCCGCGGGAAGCATGTGGGGGCGCCACTCTCCTGTGTCCCTGCCTCTGGCGCTTGCGCACGCCGCCACCAAGTGGCGGGCAGGGTGTCACCTGTAGCCGGGCCCCCTGCAGACGCAGTGACGGGGACCTGGGGAGCTTCTACCTGGTGCCTGGAACGCCCCATCAGGCTCTTCCCTGGAGGCTGAGCAGGTGTCAGCTCTCCCGGTGAGACTCTGCTGACACCAGATAACTGCACCTCAGGGGTGTGGCTGACGCGGACCTCCAGAGCCCTGCCTCCGCGGCCGGCTGGGCCGAGTCCCCCAGCTGTGAGCTCGCGGTGCAGGGGTGCAGCACAGGCCTGGGGACGCTCCTGGTGGCCACGCCCCTCTCATCGCCAGGACAGTGCTTGGCTGGGAAGGAGAGGAACAGCTGTGTTGCCGAGGGCTTGCCCTTGCCGGGCAGGGCGATCGCACACCCCATGAGGTAGGCCTGGGGCCGCCGCGCACGCTGGTGCTAGGGGGAGCCCGCTCCCCGCAGAGGCCCCAGCCAGCAGCTGAGCAGTCACAGAGCTGCCAGGACCCTGTGCCGCGGCCGGTCACCCCGCGCCCACCCCTCAGGCCACCGGCCGCGCCTCCTCTTCCCGAGCCCCTGAAGGATGGGGTGGGTGGCCCCTAGAGGGCATGGCCGGTTCACACCCCTGCCAAGCTCCTCCACCCTGGGGGTCTTGTCTGCACAGCTGGGTCCAGGGGAGGAGCTGGCCCTTCCAGGGCGAGGCCGTGGGGCTGTGGTTTGGGCCAGGGGGCTTGGATTTGGGCCAGCGGGGTGGGGGAGGCCTTGGGGGTGCACAGTCAGCTGGGGCCGAGCCTGGGTGGGGGGTCCTTGGGAAAGAGGTGGAGGCAGGAACCTGGGGTGGGACCCTTGCTTAGGCTCACAGCCCGCGCAGACTCCAGGGCCGGGCTGGGCTCCTCCCTGAACTCTGCAGGCCACGCTTGTGGCCCGGAATCTCCCCGCGCAAGGATGGATGGGGTGGGGAGGTCCTGGGACCCGCACCCACCTCCAGTCCCCCGCAGTGGGTTGTGTGCTGGGAGGACCGGGCGGGGGGTGTAGCCACGGTGGAGGGTCTATCACTGGGCAGTGCCAGGAAGCCCCCAGACAGGGAGGGGTGAGGACCGAGGGGCAGGCACAGCTGGCTTCAGCCAAGGCCTTGCAGGAGGGGGTCTGGGGAGCCTTCCAGGGCGAGGTTGCTGTGGTGGACGCACGGGCCATGGGGCAGGTGCCCGTAGCCTTGACCAGCCACTTCTCCGCGGCCTCTGTGAGGTCCTGCCACGGCGGTTCCGTCTGCAGTGGGTGAAAATCGCCACGGACGCGTCTCGGCGGGGGCTCAGGGGGCTCTAGTGGTGGAGGCGGCTGCTGTGGGGAGGGCGCAGGCACTGGGGTGTCTGCAGTGGGCCTGAGCCTCCTGCCCTGAACCCCCTCATGCGGCCCACCCGGGCAAGGAGGACACCACGGCAAGCTGCCTGGGGCCGGGGACGGAGTGTGGGGGCCGCCAGCCCTGGAGCCCGGCGCCATGGGGGAGCCCAGGGCTGCCTGGTGGAGTCGGCTGCGCAATGGGCCTGGGGCGCGTGGGGATTCTGCCCCCGCAGGGCCGGTTGGGCCTGCCATGTGCCACCTGGCTCCTGAGTGCATCCTCGCCCAGCAGCTGCCCCCCGGGTCACCCCCGACCTCCTGCCAGGGAGGGGGTTGAACTCGCAGGTCTGATGGGCGGAGGCCACTTCAGCACCGCGGACAGTGGCCAGAGCACCGGCTGCTCTGCCCTCGCCTCCTGGGGTCCCAGGGCAGGGGTTGGCGTTGGGCGTGTATCTGGGGTGCGTGGAGCCCTGGGTGAGAGGTCGGCCCCCATCCCATGGGGCTGGCACGAGAGCCTCCGGGCTGGGCCCCACTCCGTGCTGCAGGGCTGCGGGCAGGGGGCTGGGCCCGCAGGCTGCCGCGCCGCACCTGTGGAGATGGCGGCACCTGGCCAGGAGGACGTGGTGGTTTGGGGTGGCACCCACAGGGCAGGCTCAGAGCTGAGGGGCCCTGGACGGGGGGCCCTGCCCCTTGCCAGAGATGGGACTGGGGCTGCCTTCTCGCGCGTCGGGGCCCGCTGGCGGCCGGGCCGGGCCTGGGAGGAGCGCGCCGCAGGTCCTGCAGGGAGTCATCAGCGGAGCCGGGGCCCACGCCCCCCGCAGCCCCTGCCCTGGCCGCGCGGAGTTGGAACTTGGGTCAAGACCTACAGGATTTTTAATGAAAACGCAGGAAGCCCTTGTGTGCTCAGCCTGCGGCCCCTCCGCCTGCCGCGGCTCGCCCCACCCTCGTCGCAGCGCCCTCGGCTCCGGGCGGCCCCTGTGCGGCCCGGGGCCAGCGCCGCCTTGGGGGGGGGGGCGTGCGGTGGGGCCCAGCGGCCCAGGAATCGCGCCCCGGGCGGAGGGGGGCACAGCAGCGTCGCCCAGGCCCGGTGGGGGCCGGACCCCCTGCCTCTGCAGACCCGCTGGCTCTTCCCGGATGCCCCGGCCTCCCAGGACAGGCGGCGGTGGGTCCCCCCCAGAGGGGTCCTGAGCTGGCTGCACCCCCGCCTCCTGGGCGCTCGCCCCTGGGGTGCCGGCCTGCGCGGGGGCGGGTCTCCAGGTGTCCTGGGAACGCCCACAGGGCGCACCCTCACGGGGACACCCCGGAGCAGATGCGCAGCGGGCTCCGGGCCCCAGGCGCCCGGCAGTGGGGGGCCCTCGGCCCCAGGTGGGGCGCAGCGCCTCCTGCTGCCCTGCAGCGGCGGGCGTGGGCTGGATGCTTTCCTGCCGCCTGGAGGTGTCTCTGGACACAGCCCCCCACGGCAGGCCGCCCCGTGCCCGCGGCCGCCGACCCATCCGCCCGCCTGCCCCTCACTGTCGGGGTGCACAGCGGGGCTGCGGGGCGGCTGCGGTCGGGAAGCACGCGTCACCTCTCGGTCCGGTTGCGTGGTCGGAGCCCCTGTATGCTGCACCCGTGGGGTGCGTGCAGGGGCCCGTCGTTCCGTGGGTGCCTGCGCCCTGGGAGTCGCGCCGGGACGGGCCCTGGAGAGCCTGGCAGAGGGGGGCAGCAGGCAGGGCGGACCCCAGGGTCCTGCGGGGGTGAGGGGCGCCGCGGCTGGCACCACGTGCAGGGGCTCCCCTGGGGGCTCTGTCTGTCAGCGCCCAGCTGCGGGGGTCAGGGGAGGTAGCGGTCTCAGCCCAGGGCCGTGGTCGGGAGCCCCGTCCCCCGCCCCACGTGACTCTCCAGCCCCCCGAGACAGCCCTTAACTGCGCCGCAGCTGGTTCGAGCACGTCAGCATGCTGGTCATCATGCTCAACTGCGTGACCCTCGGCATGTTCCGGCCCTGCGAGGACGTGGAGTGCCGCTCTGAGCGCTGCAGCATCCTGGAGGTGGGGCTGGGGCGCGCGGGGTGGGGGGGGGCCGGGCGGGGTGCCCAGGCTTACCCGCTCCCCCACAGGCCTTCGACGACTTCATCTTCGCCTTCTTCGCCGTGGAGATGGTCATCAAGATGGTGGCTCTGGGGCTGTTCGGCCGGAAGTGCTACCTGGGCGACACCTGGAACCGGCTGGACTTCTTCATCGTCATGGCGGGGTGTGGCCGCGGCCCGGCCCGGGGTGGGGGCGGTGGCGGGTGGGTGCAGAGCGGGGCTGGAGTCCAGAGCCCCCTGGGTCCGTGAGTGCTGGGGGCCTGTGCGGTGACCAGCGTTGTGCTGCCCCCCCAGCATGATGGAGTACTCGCTGGACGGACACAACGTCAGCCTCTCGGCCATCAGGACCGTGCGCGTGCTGCGGCCGCTCCGCGCCATCAACCGTGTGCCCAGTAAGTGGCCAGCCCCGGATGGGCTGCCGAGGCTGCAGACTGCTTTCTGGACACGGGACGGGCGGCCAGGCTGCCCGCATGGCTGCTGGGCCACTAGCCTCTCTCTGCAGACCCTTGGGGACCTGCTGGGCCCAGGACGCCCTCCCTGGGCCGGTTGGGGTGTGACCAGCAGTTGGCCATGCAGGGTCCTGATTCCCCAGTGTCATTGAGGGGCCCCTGTGCACTGAGCCCCCGCTTCCTGGCCGGATGAGCCCAGTATTTGGGGCAGCAATGCCCTGCTGGCCTCGGCACACAGACCGGCGAGCAGTCGCACCCTGGGGTCACAGGCCCACCTCGGGGGCCACCCCTCCATCAACGGGCGTGGGGCGGGGTGATGCGGGGTGACCCGGGGCCGTTCCTCGTGGGTCCACGGCCCCAGACGGTGCGTCCGCTCCGCAGGGCTGTCGCGGCCTGCTCTGGCCCCTGGGTCATCCGTGACCTTTGCGGCAGCGACGACTGTCCGACTGTCTCCCCGCGGGGTGCCTCTGCTGGACCCCGGGCGGCCCTCCCCGGCCGGAGCCCCGTCGCAGCCTTACCTGGCCGGTGCCCCTTGGCGGGAGAGGGGTCGCATCCTCCTGAACGTTAAGGGGGGGCAGGGCCGGGGTGCGCGGCCCCGCCGACCGGCCCGGCTCGCAGGCGTGTACCCGCCACGCCCCACGAGGGAGCGGCGGGAGGGAACCGCGGCGGAGCCCGTGGCCGTGCTGGGGGGGGCGCCCCTGTGCCGACGAGCGCCTGCCGCCGCAGGCATGCGCATCCTGGTCACGCTGCTGCTGGACACGCTGCCCATGCTGGGGAACGTCCTCCTGCTGTGCTTCTTCGTTTTCTTCATCTTCGGCATCGTGGGCGTCCAGCTCTGGGCGGGCCTGCTGCGCAACCGCTGCTTCCTGGACAGCACCTTCGCCAGGTGAGCGCCGCGCCCCGCCCCGCCCCGCCCCGCCCCGCCCCGCCCCTGGCGACGGCCCTTCCGGATAGATGCCGCTCCCCACAGGCCCTGCCCTCTGGGCCCGGCAGGCCACGCCCCTCCATGGCCCCGCCCCTCGCGACGGGCCCCGCCCTTCCCGGGCCCCGCCCCTCGCGACGGGCCCTTCCCGATAGATGCCGCTCCCCACAGACCCCGCCCTCTGGGCCCGGCAGGCCCCGCCCCTCCATGGCCCCGCCCCTCGCGACGGGCCCTTCCCGGTAGATGCCGCTCCCCACAGGCCCCGCCCCTCGCGACGGGCCCCGCCCTTCCCCGGGCCCCGCCCCTCGCGACGGGCCCTTCCCGATAGATGCCGCTCCCCACAGACCCCGCCCTCTGGGCCCGGCAGGCCCCGCCCCTCCATGGCCCCGCCCCTCGCGACGGGCCCTTCCCGGTAGATGCCGCTCCCCACAGGCCCCGCCCTCTGGGCCCGGCAGGCCCCGCCCCTCCATGGCCCCGCCCCTCGCGACGGGCCCCGCCCTTCCCCGGGCCCCGCCCCTCGCGACGGGCCTTTCCCGGTAGATGCCGCTCCCACCGACCCCGCCCCCTTAGGCCCCGCCCCGCCCCCGGGCCCCGCCCCGCGCCCACCTGGCCGCCTGCCCGCCCGCAGGAACGGCAACCTGAGCTTCCTGCGGCCGTACTACCAGCCCGACGAGGGCGAGGAGCACCCGTTCATCTGCTCGGCGCGCCGCGACAACGGCATGCGGCGCTGCTCGCACATCCCCAGCCGGCGCGAGCTGCGCGTGGAGTGCACGCTGGGCTGGGAGGCCTTCGCGCGGCCGGCCGCCGCCAACGCCTGCGTCAACTGGAACCAGTACTACCGCGAGTGCCGCTCGGGCGCCGCCAACCCGCACGGCGGCGCCATCAACTTCGACAACATCGGCTACGCCTGGATCGCCATCTTCCAGGTGCGCGCGGGCGCGGGGCGCGGGGCGGGGGCGCGGGGCCCGCCGCCCCCCCGCCGTGTCCAGCCGCCTGCCCCCGCAGGTGATCACGCTGGAGGGCTGGGTGGACATCATGTACTACGTCATGGACGCGCACTCCTTCTACAACTTCATCTACTTCATCCTGCTCATCATCGTGAGTGCGGAGCTGCCCGCGCTGCCGCCGGCCTGGCGGGCCCCGGCGGGGGGGGGGGGGGGGGCGGGGGGACGGCGCGCCCCCGGGAGCCCCGGGCTGTCCGGGCGACGTCAGGGCCCCTCCTGGCCGCCGGCCCCCACGGTGAGCGTGCCCGGGCGGGCCCTTGTGGCTCCCGGTGCGGGGCGGGCCGGGGGACACTGAGCCAGACAGGGCTCCCCGGGGCCTGGGAGGACGGTGGCACCTGCTTCCGCCCCCCCACCTGTGGGGGCCGGGGCACGGAGGGTCGGGTCTGGAGGGGGCATGGGGCGGGCCTGAGCGCCTGCCCCGCCCCGCCCACAGGTGGGCTCCTTCTTCATGATCAACCTGTGCCTGGTGGTGATCGCCACGCAGTTCTCGGAGACCAAGCAGCGGGAGAACCAGCTGATGCGGGAGCAGCGCGCCCGCTATCTGTCCAGTGACAGCACGCTGGCCAGCTTCTCAGAGCCGGGCAGCTGCTACGAGGAGCTCCTCAAGTACGTGGGCCACGTGTGCCGCAAGGCCCAGCGCCGCGGCCTGCGCCTCTACGCCCGCTGGCAGGGCCGCTGGCGCCAGAAGGTGGAGCCGGGCAGCGGGCCGCAGGGCCAGGGCGCTGGGCGGCGCACGGCCTCCGTGCACCATCTGGTCTATCATCACCACCACCACCACCACCACCACTACCACTTCAGCCCCGGCACGCCCGGCGCCACCCGCGACTCCCGGCTGGTGCGGGCCGGCGTGCCACCCTCCCCGCCCTCGCCAGGCCCCGGGCCGCCGGACGCCGAGTCCGTGCACAGCGTGTACCACGCCGACTGCCATGTGGAGGGGCCGCAGGAAAGGGCCCGGGCCGCGCGCGCTGCCGCCAGCCTCAAGGTGGCCGCAGGCCTGGGTGCCATGAACTACCCCACCATCCTGCCCTCAGGGGCGGGCAGCAGCAAGGCTGGCCCCGGGCCCCAGGGCAGGCGGCCCCACGGAGGCCACAGTCCCCTGAGCCTGGGCGGCCCCGACCCTTACGAGAAGATCCAGCACCTGGTCGGGGAGCACGGTGAGGACCCTGACGGGGCCGGTGGGGGTTCGGGGGCGCTCTGGAGAGCTGGCCCACATGACCCGGGGCCCAATGCCCTCACCACCCTGGCCTCCCATGCACCTCAGAGTGGGCACTTCTCGGTTCTGATTAGGAGACGGGAGGCCCCCCCCCATCCATCCTTCCCCAAGACAGGGCAGCCTGGGCCATGGGGCTAGGGCGCTCCAGAAAGAAGCCCCAGTGGTGAGGAGGGCTCTGCCCGAGGCCATGGTCAGGGCAGGTCTGCAGAGGGGCCAACCCCCTTCCCGGCTGTGGAGACAGGCTGGGGCGGGCAGGGGACATCTGGGTGTCCGCACAGTGACGTCCATCTCCCTGGGGGCCGGCCCAACTTGGCCAGCCATCGGAGGGGTGCCAAGCTATGTGTGGACGTGCAGCCCCAGCTCTACCCACGTGACCCTGGGGACCTCCTCTGACATAGAGACAGTGGCTGCCCCCCAAGGACATGGTCTGCCCTGCGGGTGGGGTCCTTGTGCCGGCAACGCCCACCGTGATCTTCAGTTCCCCGGCGGGCGTGTGTGTGCGTGCGTGTGTTTGTGTGTGTGAGCGTGGCCACTCCCTGCTCCATGAGTGTCCCTATTAGCATGGGCAGGTGCCAGCAGATGCCCACATGCCCAGGGCGAGAGTGCCCGGGTGTGTAGCGGTGCCCCGTCTTCAGTGCGCAGCCTGACCTGCCTGTGCCTTCTCCCTGCAGGCCTGGGCCCAGCCCCCAACCGCCTCTCCGGCCTGAGCGTGCCCTGCCCGCTGCCCAGCCCACAAGCAGGTACGCTGACTTGCGAGCTTGCGCACTGCCCCTACTGCGCCAGCGCCCTGGGCGACCCCGGGCTGGAGCTCAGCAGCTCGGAGAGCGGTGACTCTGCTGGAGATGGGGTGTACGAATTCACGCAGGACGTGCGGCACGGGGACCGCCGCGACCCCGTGCAGCCACCCCCAGAGGCCGGGCCGGGCCAGGCTGGGGCGCGGCGGCGGGCGCCGGCGGGGCCGGGCCACATGTGGACGGGCCTTCGTGCCCGGCTGCGGCGCATCGTGGAGAGCAAGTACTTCAATCGCGGCATCATGGTGGCCATCCTCACCAACACGCTGAGCATGGGTGTGGAGTACCACGAGCAGGTGAGCAGCGCGCCCGGGGCACGGCCAAGCTGCCATCCGAGCCGCAGCGCTGACATGGCCCTGCCCCCGCAGCCGGACGAGCTGACCAGCGCCTTGGAGATCAGCAACGTGGTGTTCACCAGCATGTTTGCCCTGGAGATGCTGCTGAAGCTGCTGGCCTGCGGGCCACTGGGCTACATCCGGAGCCCCTACAACATCTTCGATGGCGTCATTGTGGTCATCAGGTGGGCCCCCCGCCGGGCAGCCACTCGGCCAGCCCCGCTCCGGGGAGGAGGTCACGAGGTCACCCGAGAGGCCGAGTCGCGGGTCTCTGGGGCGCTGCCGCTGTAGACACGGCACAAAGAGCTGGGGGTTCTTCCCTGTCTTCTGCAGAGGAAGCGGGAGCCTCCGCCCTTGCGGGGAGGGAGTGGGCACAGCTGCAAAAGCTGCTGGTCAGGGAAGCGCCTGGGAGGCCTCTCTCCTGACCAGAGCCAGAGTGCCGGCCACTTCTGGGGGTCGGGTAGCAGCACCATCCGCGCCTTGATGCAGCCGCACCTGCTCCCGCCATGGAGCTGAGCGGGAGCCAGGCAGCCCCACTGCCCGTTTCCTGCTCTGTGCGGAGGAGGGGCGGCCCCGGGGCGCCCCTGACCCCGGCCCGCCCACAGCGTCTGGGAGATCGTGGGCCAGGCAGATGGCGGGCTGTCGGTGCTGCGGACCTTCCGGCTGCTGCGGGTGCTGAAGCTGGTGCGCTTCCTGCCCGCGCTGCGGCGCCAGCTGCTGGTGCTCGTGAAGACCATGGACAACGTGGCCACCTTCTGCATGCTGCTCATGCTCTTCATCTTCATCTTCAGGTGCGCGGCCTTCCGGGCGGGGGCCGGCAGGGACGGAGGGAGGGGCCGGTGGGGGTGCCCCTGGGGTCGGGGGAGGATGGGCAACCCCCCACCGCCGCCTCTTGCAGCATCCTGGGCATGCACCTCTTTGGATGCAAGTTCAGCCTGAAGACAGACACGGGGGACACGGTCCCCGACAGGAAGAACTTCGACTCCCTGCTGTGGGCCATCGTCACCGTGTTCCAGGTAGGGCCGCTGTCCTGCGCGTCCCGGTGGGGGGGGGCGGGCTGGCGGCCTGACGCCCGCCGCCCGCCCAGATCCTCACGCAGGAGGACTGGAACGTGGTGCTGTACAACGGCATGGCCTCCACCTCGTCCTGGGCCGCGCTCTACTTCGTGGCGCTCATGACCTTCGGCAACTACGTGCTTTTCAACCTGTTGGTGGCCATCCTGGTGGAGGGCTTCCAGGCGGAGGTGCGGGGGCCTGCCCAGGCCGGGCGGGCGGGCGGCGCGGTCTCCTGGCGAGGCCCGCTGGTGCGGTCTCGATGCCGGCCGCGGGGGCCAGCACGCCTTTTGCTCTCCGGCACAGGGCGACGCCCACAGGTCCGACGCGGACGAGGACAAGACATCCATCCGCTTGGAGGAGGATTTCGACAAGTTCAGAGACCTCCGGGCTGCAGGTGCGTGTGGACTCGGGGTGGGGCGCGGCCACCCCCGGTACACTGGCCCCAGCCCACCTGGGGGCCTGTCCCAGGCCCGTGGTTCAGACCCCTGCCCCACAGACATGAAGATGTACCTGCTGGCAGAGACCCCCAACGGGCACCTGGAGGGCCGGGGCAGCCTGCCCCCACCACTGATCATGCGCACGGCGGCCACGCCCATGCCCACCCCCAAGAGCTCCCCGCACCTGGACATGGCACTCGGCCTCCCGGACTCCCGGCGAGGGAGCAGCAGCTCCGTGGACCCCCAGCTGGGGGACCAGAAGTCTCTGGTAGGGACCCCCCCCGTCTGGCCCAGGGCTCCCCAAAGCTGGGAACCCGCCCTGAAGGGTTGGGGGTCACGGGAGCGCGTGTCCCCCGGGGCCGTGTGCTGATCTGCCGGGCGAGGCGGCGGCCGCCTGGGGAAGGGACCGGCCGTGGGCGGTGGTCCAGGGAGCTCGTGTCCACAGAGCCCGCCGGGCCGGCCTCCGGTGGGCAGGGGTGGGGTGGACGGGGATGCCAGGCCACGTGGGCCCAGAGCCAGGTGGGGGTCCGGGGGGAACGCGCCAGAGGATGAGGGCAGTGCGGCCAAGCTCAGTCCAGTTTATCCCCCAACCGGCTGGCGGCTTTCTCCTGGCACCGCCGGCCTGGGGGCCGCCACGGAGGGGTCAGAGGCCAGGGTTCTGAGGGGGCCTGTGCCGGCCCTGCTCAGCGGCGCCTGCGGCCAGCTGCTCTGTTGCAGGTCCCGTGAGCGCCGGGCACCGGCTCCTCCTAGGGCGTCTGCGCCTCAGGGGCCCCGAGATGCCGCAGGGTGTCGGCAGCCACCCCCATTAGGGCAGACCCGGGCCGGATGTTGGGGGGGTTAGGGGGGCCTGCTGCGCTCACGCGCTGGCCCCACAGTCCAGCCACCGCAGCTCGCCCTGTGCCCACTGGGGCGGCAGCAGCGCCTGGAGCAGCCGCCGCTCGAGCTGGAACAGCCTGGGCCGCGCGCCCAGCCTCAAGCGCCGCAGCCAGCGCGGGGAGCGCGAGTCGCTGCTGTCGGGCGAGGGCAGGGGCAGCACGGACGATGAGACGGAGGACGGCCGGCCGGGTGCCTCTCCCGGGCCACGGGAGTCCCCGCTGCGGCGGGCCGAGTCTCTGGACCCCCGCAGCGCCCTGGACCCGCGCCCCCCGCGGCCCGCCGCGCTGCTGCCGGCCAGGCTCGCCGACGGCAAGGCCCCGGGGCTGGCGCTGCCGCGGGAGTTCTTCCTGCGCATCGACAGCCACAAGGAGGACCCGGCCGACCTGGACGAGGACCTGGAGGATGTGAGTGTCTCCGCCGCCGCCGCCCAGGAGAGGGGACGGGCCTCCCTGGGGGCGAGGGCCGGGCCGGGCCGCATGGCTGAGCCGCCTTCTGCCCCAGAGCTGCTGCTGCCGCCTGCGCAAAATACTGGAGCCCTACGAGCCCGCGTGGTGCCGCAGTCGCGAGGCCTGGGCGCTCTACCTGTTCTCGCCGCAGAACCGGTGAGGCCCCGCGGGGTGGGGCGGGGCGGGGCGGGGCGGGGTGCGTGGGGAGCGGGGAGCAGGCTGGCCGCACCCGCCTTGCCCTCCACGCGCCCCGCTCGCCGCCCGGCAGGTTGCGCGTCTGCTGCCAGAAGGTCATCGCCCACAAGATGTTCGACCACGTGGTCCTCGTCTTCATCTTCCTCAACTGCATCACCATCGCCCTGGAGAGGCCGGACATCGACCCTGGCAGCACCGTGAGTCCTCGGGGGCGGGGCGCGGGCGGCTGGGGGGCGCCAAGGCGGCGGCCGGGAGCCTGTGCCCACTTCGCCCGTCCCGCAGGAGCGCGTGTTCCTCAGCGTCTCCAACTACGTCTTCACGGCGATCTTCGTGGCCGAGATGATGATGAAGGTAGCGAGTGTCCGGGGCCCTGGGGTCGGGCGGCCCTGCCTCCGGCCGCAGCTGGTGCAGGCCGCCACCCGGCACCCTCCCTCCCCTGCCGCAGGTGGTGGCCCTGGGCCTGGTGTCCGGCGAGCACGCTTACCTGCAGAGCAGCTGGAACGTGCTGGACGGGTTGCTGGTCTTGGTGTCCCTTGTGGACATCGTCGTGGCCATGGCCTCGGCGGGGGGAGCCAAGATTTTGGGCATCCTGCGGGTGTTGCGGCTGCTGCGGACGCTCCGGCCGCTGAGGTGGGCAGCGAGCTTGGGTCGCGTGAAGGGTGGGGCGTTGAGGAGGGAAAGAGGCTGGCAGGAGCAGGTGGCTGGGAGGGGCCCTGGGCAGGGGCGGGAGCCCAGCCCGCCCTGTCGGGCTCCGGGGCAGAGCGTTGCGCTCAGGCTGCCTGCCGGGACCGCCAGCCGCAGGGCCGCGCAGCCGCATAGCCTGTGCCGGCCCTGTGCCCGCCCGGCCCCCCGGCCGGGCCCAGCACATCGCCTCTGGCCCTCCGCAGGGTGATCAGCCGGGCTCCGGGACTCAAGCTGGTGGTGGAGACTCTGATATCTTCGCTCAGGCCCATCGGAAACATCGTCCTTATCTGCTGTGCCTTCTTTATCATCTTCGGCATCCTGGGGGTGCAGGTGCGCTGCGCCCCGAGGAAAGCCAGCCCTGGGGCCCCAGGAGGCCAGGGTGGGTGAGTGTGCTGGGGGGATGGGGCCCGGCTCGCGGGGGTGACGCCCACCCTGGTCAGCTCTTCAAGGGGAAGTTCTACCACTGCGACGGCGCGGACACCAGGAACGTGTCCACCAAGGCCGAGTGCCTCGCCGCTGGCTACCGCTGGGTGCGGCGCAAGTACAACTTCGACAACCTGGGCCAGGTGGGCGGGGCCTCCCGGCGGGTAACCCGGCACCCCCGTGCCAGGGCAGGGTGGTGGGCGCTGCCCGGGCACGGCAGGTGCTCGAGGGAGGAGGCAGGGGCGTGGGCGGCGGGAGTCACCCTCGCTGTGCCCCAGGCCCTGATGCCCCTGTCCCGCCAGGCCCTGATGTCGCTCTTCGTGCTCTCCTCCAAGGACGGCTGGGTGAGCATCATGTACGACGGGCTGGACGCCGTGGGCGTGGACCAGCAGGTGCGGCAGCGGCCCGGTCACCACCGGGAAGTGCCCTCCCAGGTCGCCCTTGGCCTCCCTGCCCCTCCCCGCTGCAGAGGCGCCGGGTCGCGCTCCCGTGGCAACCCCCAGCGGGGCGGCGGGGTGGCGGGGTGGGTGCCGAGGCCCAGGGCGCCCAGGCTGGGGGCGCCCGGGCCAGGGCCCCACCTGCACCTTCTTGCTGCAGCCCGTGCCCAACCACAACCCCTGGATGCTGCTCTACTTCATCTCCTTCCTGCTCATCGTCAGCTTCTTCGTGCTCAACATGTTCGTGGGCGTGGTGGTGGAGAACTTCCACAAGTGCCGGCAGCACCAGGAGGCCGAGGAGGCGCGGCGGCGCGAGGAGAAGCGGCTGCGGCGCCTGGAGCGCAGGCGCAGGAGTAAGGGCGGTGCCCGCCTGCGGGGGGTCTGGGACCCCGGGGATGGCACCCCCGCCCCCGTGTGTGCGTGGGCTGTAGGGGCGTGGGTTCGTGCACATGCAGTGGGTGGGGTGCGTGCAGTGGGGTGTGCATGGATATGCAGTGGGTGTGCAGTGTGTGGGAATGGGCTGCGGTGGGGTGTGCGTGGGTGTGCGTGGGTGTGCAGTGGCGTGGGTGTGGGTGAGTGTGCACTGGGTATGAATGGGTGTGTAGCGGGGTGGGGGTGGGTTGCAGTGGGTGTGAATGGGCTGCAGTGGGGTGTGCGTGTGTGTGCAGTGGGGTGGGAGTGGGTGTGAATGGGTGTGAGGTGGGGTGTACGTGGGTGTGCAGTGGGGTGGGTGTGAGTGGGTTGCAGTGGGGTGTGTGAGTGTGCAGTGGGTGTGAATGGGTGTGTGCAGTGGGGTGTGCCCGCAGGGCCACGTGTGAGGTGAGCATCTCTGGGCTGCACAAAGCGGCTGGGCCCGGGGCCTCTGCGCTCCCCCTGGGCTCCAGCCTCGGCCCACAGCTGGCCCGGCCTGGGCCTGCCTGGGGCGGGTTCTCAGAGGAAGGGCCCAGGCAGGGGAGGGCAGCTGAGGAAGAGACGGTCCCCTCCCGGGTGGCAGGGGAGGTGAATGTGGCCCCCCAGAAACTGCACCATCCTGAGCTCACCATCGGGGATGGGGAGCTGAGCCAGCCCAGAGACCGGATTAGGGAAGCCCCAGCCAGCTTGGGCGCAAGGCAGGCTTCCTGCAGGGGGGCCGCTGTGTCCCCAGCCCCGCTGCGGCCGGCTCAGACCATCTCCTTATCTTTCCAGGCACTTTCCCCAACCCAGGTACCTGCCCTGCCCGGCATGCCCCCCGCACGCCCCCCGCTGCTGCAGCCTGCCCGGCCCCGCCCGGCCCCTCTGCACCGCCCGTGGCCCGCGTGCAGGAGGGCGCTGGCCGAGGGCCTTGACTGCAGGGTGGCCCAGGTCGCCGGGGCCGGGATCCCAGGCATGGGGGGCGGGGAGGCTGCTGGCGCCCCTGCCTGGCGTCCCGCTGCTGCCCCCGCGCCGTGCGTCCCCACCGGGCTGCATGTCACGCCGCTTCTCTGCCCGCGCTGGCCGCTGCGGCTCGCCCTGCTCCCCCAGGCTGGCTTCCCCGCCTGGCCTGGCCCCCGGCTGCACGCCCCGAGCCGGGTTCCCGTGACTGCATGCACATGAGCATGAGGGTCCCGGGGCGGTCCCCAGCACCCCCTCCCAGGCCGGGCCACGCGCCCCACGCATGGTCTGTGGCCGAGCGGCCCCTCTGCGGCGGGGCCCGGTGCCGCCCGCGCCGGGGTCACTGCGGTAGGCAGAGCATTTAGGGGCGCGCGCCCTGGTCGCGCAGCAGCTGCACACGGGCCGAAGGCCAGTGCGCCCGGGGGCGCCGGCCCCCGCCAGCCCCCGCAGGACAGGGTGGGGGACGCCAGGCCTGGGGGCCCCGGGTGGGCCAGAGCAGTGAGCACCCCCTTAGTGGATGGCGGAGGGGACCGGACCCACCTCCGGTACCAGCACTGGGGCGGACCACAGGCCCCGAGCGGGTGCTGCCCAGGCCTTTGGTACACGTCGGGGCCTGCTCCGGGCGCCGCGTCGGGGAGGTGGGGTTGGCCTGCCCCTGCGGCCCATCCCGCCCCCCGTCCCTGCTTTCCAGCCGGGAGCACGCACCCCCATATAGAACAGGCCCCCCCCGGAAGCCCCCCTGGCAGCCAGCCAGCCCCCGGGCCGGCCGCCCTCACCGCAGGCTCTCCCGCAGAGGCCCAGCGCCGGCCCTACTACGCGGACTACCCGCCTGCCCGCCGCTCCGTCCACTCGCTGTGCACCAGCCACTACCTGGACCTCTTCATCACCTTCGTCATCGGCCTCAACGTCATCACCATGTCCATGGAGCACTACAACCAGCCCAAGGTGGGGATGAAGGCCGCCTCCTCCCCAAGTCCCGACCCTCCCCAGCCCTCAGGGCCAGCCCGCCCACCTGGTGCCCGGAGCCCCGCGCTCTGGATTCAGCCCAGGCAAAAGCCGGGGTGCGGGGAGGCAGGAGGCCCCGGCGGTGGGGTGCCCCGCCCCGCGCATCTCCATCCATGCCCGCTAAAGGGAGCGGGGGGGAGTGTGGTCTGGGGGCAGTAGCCGTGGCGTCAGACCCTGCTGAGCTGGGGGGCAGCACCTGAGGCCGCACCTCGCCCCCAGTCTCTGGACGAGGCCCTCAAGTACTGCAACTACGTGTTCACCGTCGTCTTCGTCATCGAGGCGGTGCTGAAGCTCGTGGCGTTTGGGGTCAGGAGGTTCTTCAAGGACAGGTGTGTGGGCGGCGGTCCCGGAGGGCCCTTGCGGCTCGTGGGGCGGGGCCAGGTGAGCACCACAGTGTTCCCGGCTGAGCACAGTGACCGCACTGAGGAGAGGGCCCGAGGGGGACTCGGGAGGCGCCTCGGGGAGACAGCTGGACCCTGTGCGTGAGGCGAGGCCCCCAGAGTGCCCCTGGTGGGCTCTGCGGGGCACTGAGCGGCCACTGCGGGCAGGTGGAACCAGCTGGACCTGGCCATTGTGCTGCTGTCGATCATGGGCATCACGCTGGAGGAGATCGAGATGAGCGCCGCGCTGCCCATCAACCCCACCATCATCCGCATCATGCGGGTGCTCCGAATCGCCAGAGGTGGGCGCACCCCACCCCCTCGCGCCCCCCCCCCCGGGGCTCGTCGGGCCCGCTTGCTAACGCTCGGCTTCTCCCTAGTGCTGAAGCTGCTGAAGATGGCCACGGGCATGCGGGCCCTGCTGGACACTGTGGTGCAGGCGCTGCCCCAGGTAGGTCCCACCTACCGCGTGTTCGCGCCTCCACGGTTCCCGGGTCAGGGCAGCAGTCACCCCGGTGCCCGGCGAGAGGGGCCCTTCGTGACAAACAGCCAGCGCCCACTCGCTCTGGGTCACGGCAGGGCTGAGCAGAGGGCAGGGGAGTGGCCAGGCAGGGCTGGTTTGGGGCGAGGACCCCCGCAGGGCTCAGGCACTGGCTTGGGCCGCCTCTGTCGTGCGCACGCTTGTGCCCACGGTCCCCTCCCCGCCCTTTGTCACCGCTGGACTGCAGGCCCCTGGTGCACAGCGTCCACTCGCTGCCGTCCCCCGCCGGGGGTCCATCTGTCCTTGGCCCCAACCTCCCCACCTCCCCCACCCTCCCCCGGCCACCCTCCCATGGCCTCCAGCGGCCCCAGCCCGGTCCATACTGGCTGTGCCGGCGCCGGCCATGCCCGGCTGTCGTGGGGATGATGGGAGGTGGGGGGACGGGCAGCCTGGTGGGGCTGGGAGGGGAGCAGGCGTGTCCCGTGGGACAGCTGCAGGGGTAGTCAGGGGGCCCCTCAGTGCAGTCCTGGTGCTGAGCCGAAGGGGGTCCTGGCACCAGGCAGGACGGAGCCCGGAGAAGCAGGGAGGGCCGGCGGGGGCTGGCAGGGGAGGGCGTGGGCTCCAGCGCCCTGACCTCAGCTTCTCTCCGCGCAGGTGGGAAACCTCGGTCTCCTTTTCATGCTCCTGTTTTTCATCTATGCTGCCCTGGGAGTGGAGCTGTTTGGGAGGCTCGGTGAGTGGCCTCGGGGCCGCCCGGACACGCGGCGGGGAGGCCCTGGGTCTGAGCCCTCGCTGCCGGGCCTTACTTGGGAGCGGGCGCGTGCCGACTGCACTCTGGCAGCCAGGAGTGGGGGCCCCAGGGAGCGGCCCCCTCCCCCCAAGCACAACCCCAGAGGGCGGCCCCCTCCCCGCAAGCACCCCCCCCAGGGAGTGGCCCCGTGGGAATGTGCTAACGCGTCACCAGGAGCTCGGGTGCTCCCCAGTGGCCATTCGCTGTTCCCCGGTTGTGTCGGGGGTGGGTGGGGACGTCCTGGCAGCCCTGTCCTTGTGCACGGCTGAGTGGCTTCAGCCCCAGCAAGCCTGGCAGGGGGTGACCTGGCGCCTGCGGATGCCCCCGCCCCAGTGGACCACGCGGTCCACAGGGCCAAGGGCCCACTGGCTGGGGAGGCTGAAGCTGGGTTAGCGCCCGGGCCTCGCCCGGTGGCAGCCAGGGCCCCGCAGCCGGCCCCCAGCACAGAGCGGGCCGGGGGGCAGGGGCTGAGCGGGAGGGGCGCTGAGCGGCGTCTCCCTGCAGAGTGCAGCGAGGACAACCCCTGCGAGGGCCTGAGCCGGCACGCCACCTTCACCAACTTCGGCATGGCCTTCCTCACCCTGTTCCGCGTGTCCACGGGCGACAACTGGAACGGCATCATGAAGGTAGCGGCGGCGGGCGGGCGGGGAGCGGGCTCGGACGCGGGGCGCAGCGCGCGGCTCGGGCTCAGCGCCCCCCTGCGCAGGACACGCTGCGGGAGTGCGCCCACGAGGACAAGCACTGCCTGAGCTACCTGCCGGCCATCTCGCCCGTCTACTTCGTGACCTTCGTGCTGGTGGCGCAGTTCGTGCTGGTCAACGTGGTGGTGGCCGTGCTCATGAAGCACCTGGAGGAGAGCAACAAGGAGGCGCGGGAGGACGCCGAGCTGGACGCGGAGCTGGAGCTGGAGCTGGCGGAGGGGCACCCCGCCCGCCCCCCGCCCGCGGCCCCCGGGAGCCCCGACGCGCCCAGCCTCCTGGTGGTGCGGAAGGTGTCGGTGTCCCGCATGCTCTCCCTGCCCAACGACAGCTACATGTTCCGGCCGGTGGCCCCCGCCTCGGCCGCTCCGGCCCCGCTGCTGCAGGAGGTGGAGCTGGAGGCCTGCGCTGCCCGCACCCCCTCGGGTATGGCTGCGTCCCCCGCGCCGGGGCTGGGGGGCGGGGCGGGGGCCGGAGTTGGGTTGAGGGCAGACGGCCTGGGTGGAGGGCGCTGGGCGGGGGCTGTTGCAGGGCTGCCAGGCTCTAACCCCTTCCTGCTCTAGGACCTGCCGCTGCGGCACCCCCGCCGCCCTCGCAGCCCTGCGCCCCGCTCCAGCTCCCCTCGGCCACTTCCTCCCCAGCCAGGGGCGGGGACACCCTCCAGGCCCTGTGCCCCCGGGCTGCCGCCCGCTCCCCCAGCCTCAGCCGGCCGCTCTGCAGACAGGTGAGGGAAGGCTCCTCCTCGCCAGGGTTTGGGGCCGCGCTCTGCGGGGAGGGGAGCTGTGACCCCAGCGCCTGTCCCGCCACCTCGGCTCGCGGGCACACCCCGGCCCCTGCCTCATTTATGGTGCTGGCGGGACACCGAGGTGAGGGTGGCCCCAGCCCAGCTCTGTCCCCTGGGGTCTCCTGGGGCCTCCAGGGCTCCGCCTGGGAGAGCTCAGCCCTCCCCTCCCCCTCGGCGCCCTCCAGGTGGGCCTAGCTGATGGGCAGGTCCCCGGGCCTTGACGGCTGGCTCCGCTCCACCCCACGCCCTCGCAGGAGGCCCTGTGCGCCGACTCTCTGGAAGGACAGATGGACAGCCCCGGGGACAGCAGCCCAGGCTGGGGGGAGCTTGGCGGGAAGGTCCCCGTGAAGCAGTTGACCCTGGGGTCCTCCCTGCGGTCCCCACCCCGCTCCCCGAGGCCGGCCGGCGTCCGCACCCGCAAGCACACGCTCGGACAGCTGTGCGCCCCGGGCCAGGGGCCGGCCCTCGACGGGGGGGATGCCGACACCCCCGACCCGGCCGACGAGGAGGTCAGCCACATCACCAGCTCCGCCTGTGGCCCCTCGGCCTCCCCTACTGCCCACGGGCTGGCGGGTGGCGAGGTGGACCCACACGGGCTCCACGGCGTGGAAGCCCGGGACTTCCTGGACCTGCCCGGCCACGCCGAGGAGCAGAGGCGGCCGCTGGGGGAGCCGGGGGCTGGGGGCGGCCGCGGGGAGGCCGAGGGGAAGGCCTGGGCGCAGGAGGCCGACCTGGCCCTGGGGGCCCGCCGCAAGAAGAAGATGAGCCCCCCGTGCATCTCCGTCGACCCCCCCGTGGAGGAGGAGGGCGCGGCCAGGCCCCCTGCCTCGGAGGGCGGCAGCACCATCCTGAGACGCAGGACGCCGTCCTGTGAGGCAGCGCCCCACCGGGACCCCCAGGAGCCCGCTGAGGGCCTAGGGGCGGAGCCTGCTGCCAAAGGGGAGCGGCGCAGCCAGGCCCCCTGCCGCACGGAGCACCTGACCCTGCCCAGCTTCGCCTTTGAGCCGCTGGATGTGGGGGGCCCTGGCGGGGCCTTCTTCTCGAACAGCGTCCAGGGCACAGGCCCAGAAACCAGAGCCCCCTCCCCTGGGGCCTCGGCGCCCCCAGAAGCGCCCCACGTGGAGCCTCCTGTGTCCTCTGGCACGCTGCCAGAGAAGGGGTGGGGGCTGCACCTCACAGTTCCTCAGAGTCCCCCAAAGAAAGCAGGCTCCCCACAGGCCCCCCCTGCCCTGGATGACAGTGCGGACAAGCCGGTGTAGCTTGGGGTGCGGTGCCACACAGGCTTTGGTGGCGGTGCTGGGGCACCCAATGGGGTGGGGGCCCCTTGCGAGGCCCTACTTGGACGCGGCTCGGGCAAGCCCCCCCAGGGACAGCCGGCGCAGGCGGGGCCGGCTGGGAAGGGGCCCTGGGGCCCTCTCTGCAGAGGCGGGGCCGGGCAGTCCGGGGGAGCGGCACCGCGGGCGGGCCGGGCCTGGCCGGGCACCCACGCAGCTCACGGAGCCACAGAGCACGGCCCCCGCCCGCGCGGCCACGCCTCACCCTGCTCACGCCCTTGGCGCCTGTGCCCGCCGCCCTGCACTGCCAATTCCCGGAGCCCCGGGGTGCTGCTGGGGGGGGGCCGCGCAGCAAGACCCGCAGACGCCGGGTCGCGTCTCGCTCAGGGTGGGCATCGTGAGAGCCGGGCCCCGCGCGTCCCGGAGGGCGCAGGAGCGGAATAAAGACTAACTTATTTCTGCAGCCTGGGGGTTGCCTCTGCGGGGCGGGCGGCTCCCGCTGGGCAGGTCCGCGCAGGCGGCGGCCGATCACCCCGGGTCTTTTGCGCCAGCAGGAACCAAGGCTGCCGGGGTGCCCTGCGCGGTGGGCACAGGTGGGGTCCCTGGGCAGCAGCTCTGGGGGGGAGGGGCGGGGCCACGGCCTGCGCGGAGCTCCCAGGGCTCCCTCTGGTGAGTGCTCAGGGGCCCGCGGGGCTCCCTAAGGGCTAGCCTGGACCCTAGAGGAGGGGCGCGGGGCGGACACCCTGCAGGGGGCGGCAGGCCCTCGGCTGATTCATCCCTTGGTGAGTTAGCCTTGGGTCCGTGAGGGCAGGCACGGGCAGCTGCGGGCACCCAGCCGTGGCCAGCGTCTGTGCCCTCCGGGAGGGGCGGGGCCCGGCCCAAGAGTCTGGGGGAGGAGAGCCGGCCCACCCTAGCCCTGCGCGGGGTCAGCGCAGCCCCACAGCCCGCACCAGCCCGCAGCCAGGAGCCAGCCATGACTGCTCACCAGAGTATCATCCCCCGCACGCCCTGGCTGGACGGGGTGGGCAGGCGCCCGTCCTGCTCGTGTGGGTGGCCACCCCGCTTCTGGCTGGCTGGACGCGGAGGCCAGGCACACTGCACTCCCTGCGCCGGCATCAAAGCCAGCGAGGTGGGTGGGTGTGCTGTCCGCTGGGACCTCCCTCGCTGCCAAGCGCCCTGTGGTGGTGGTGGCCCCAGTGACCAGGGTTGTCCACCTTGAGGGAGCGCTCTCGTGGCCCCCAGCATCAGGAGGGGGGCGTCTGGGGCTCCTGCTGACAGCTGGGGGCTGTGCAGACCAGGGGTGCAGGTCAGAGACTGGGAGGGAGGGCAAGCTGCAGGGAGCACTTGGTCAGCAGGACGCCAGCCACGAGGAGGAGCAGGAGCCCGGGGAGGAAGGAAGAGGCCAGGAGCGGGAGCACGGGGAGCCCCAGCTCTGTGCCCCCCAGGCCCGGGACGTGGCGGTGGATCCGGCTCACATAGGCCGCCACGCGTGTATAGACCCCAGGCCAGTCCGGGCGGCCGCAGCCCTCACCCCGGCTCACCACACCAACCTGCTGCCAGGAGCCGGCCGCCTGGCACACCAGAGGCCCCCCGGGGTCACCCTGGGGACAACGTGGGGTCAGGGGGCCCCCCACCGGGCCGCGCCTCTCCCCCGACCTGGCAGGCATCCCCTGGGCCCAGTACACACAGCGTGCCTGGCCGATGAGCCCGCGCCCCGCCCGAGGTAGTCCCCGCGGCAGGTCCCGGTGGCCGCCAGGGAGACCTGCGCCTCCTGCGACCTGTACGGGCCCCAGGGCCTCTGGGAACCGCAGGTCGTGGGGGGTCAGCCCTGCTCTGAGGGACGTGACCCAGCAGACCCCGGGTTCCCATCCATCTGGCAGGCTGTGGAGGGGCCTCGGTGGCCACCGAGGCTGGGGCGCTCCTCGCCTCCCTCCCGGGTGTAGCCCCGGCCTGTCGCCCAGCACAGCGGCCCCAGGGGGAGGTCGGCTGAGGCCTTGGGCAGGCAGGCGGGCAGGACTCTGCTGGAGAGGGCCGCGGGGCGCCCAGCTGCACCGCGCAATGTCCCGGCGGCTGCCCGGCGCCCCCGCGAGCCCAGGATGCAGGATGATCCGCCTGCCGGTGGGGAGGGGGGAGCGATGGCCGGCCGTCCGGGTGGACCCGGTGGTGGGAGGAGTTCAGGGGCCTGGGTGGATGGCGGGTGGGGTGGGGGGGCGGCTGGGGCGTCGGGCAGGACCAGCTCCACGTGGCCCAGGCGTCGGGGGCCGGCTCGGCGGGCAGGGGGCGTGAGCTGTCCACCCCACGTGGGCTCCCGGGCGGCGCGGCACGTGTGCGGGGAAACTGAGGCCAGGCGAGGCCGGGCGAGGACGCCTGGGGCCACTCACCCGCCCACGCTCACCCCGAGAAGCAGTGGGTGGCGGTGAGCACCCCTGGGGGCTGAGGCGGCTCCCCCACACGTGCGCCTTCCGCCCCCCGAAGCCGGCCTGCCTCGGCCACTCGCCCCCTGCGAGGTCGGCAGGAGGTCTGCTTCCCAGGAGGTCTACTTCCCACCGCACCCCGCGGGGAGCCTGGGGGCACCCCACCCACACCCTCCAGGAGGGCGCCCCGCCGCCTGCCCGCCCCCGCACCGCCCGGGCAGTGGACAGCAGGCCCCGAGCCCGGAGCAGGGGCCAGCAGGGGGACGCGGGCAGAGGGCGTCTGCGCGGGCGCTGCGAGGCCGAGGCGGGCCCGGCGTGGCTGGCCTGGCTCCCCCAGGGCTCGCCTTGCTGAAGGCGCTTTTAGGGCTCCCCTCGGGCAGGGGCTCTGGAACGAGGCGGGCCGGGGTGCGGGGCGGGGTCTCCACCAGCCTCCCCCCCTCACCTGCCGGACGCCCCTAGTCCAGGGCTCTGCAGGCCACGCCTGGGGAGAGGGGCAGCGCCTAGTGGGGTCAGGCGGAGCCCAGCAGGCTCACACGTGCCCTGGCCCCGCGGGCGCCCGCAGCCTGGGCCCGCCCGGCCCTCTCCGGGCCTCCCGGAGTCCGGAGCCCACCGCTCGCCTGAGCCCCGCGGGGCCGGCCTCCCCTGCCTGGGCTGCATGGGCATGGGGGGCACACTGGCCCCCAGGGGCCTGGCCGAGCCCCCCTTGGCCCTGTCCCTCCGCACCCCACCCCACGGGGACCCCGAGCTCTGCGGCGGGGCAGGGGCTCCCGGGAGGAGACCAGAGGGGAGAGGTGCCCGCGCCCCAGGCGGTCACCCACCGGGCAGGGCCAGGAGGGCAGGAGGCTGAGCGCGGGCCGTGGGCTGTGGGCTGCGGAGCGCCTGTCCGGGCACCCACGCTGTGCGAGGGGGGTGCGGAGGAGCGGGGGGCAGGGCCAGAGGCCCCACCTGCTCCCTCCCCTCCCAGGGAGGGCCGCCCCCTCCAGAAAGCCCTCCCGGCCCCTGGGGTCACAGCCCTTGACCCTCCGGGTCACGGTCTTGGGATACCACCCGAGGGCCCCAGCTCAGGCCCCAGACTGGCAGCTCCATGCCCAACCCCCACCCCAGCAGACCCCAGGCCTCAGCTGCCCAGCGGGCAGGCCCCTCCCAGTCCTGTCTGGTGCGATGACCCTCAGCTGGGGGCCTGCCCTGCCCAGCCCCTTTCAGAGGCGGGGGGTAGGGGCCCCTGAAGGCCTCCAGGCCAGTGGCCCCCCTTAGGTCTGGGGAGGACTTCGGGGTCTCCCTATGTGGGGGGCTGGTCAGGCTTCCTTTCCTGTGATGTTCCGGCTTTCTCATCACGGCGCCCTGGTCACGAGCCCGCTGTCCTGGGGGCCCGGCCCCGCCCTGAGCGCCCCCAGGGCCAGGACTGTGGTTTCCTCCACGAGACAGGGGACTCTCCGCTCCCCGCTTTCCGGGAGCAGGTGTTTAGATTTGGTGCCATTTTTCCCAAAAGTGCTTGGGGGACTGACCCGCGAAATCATTGGGTTTAAAGTTCCGCCCAGAAGGCCTCTCACTGCTATGCTAACTCTCTGTGGGCCATCGAGGGGCGGGGGAGCTTCCTGGGGGGCCCGGGGTCACTTAGGGGAGACGGGCAGCCGGTGGGGAGGGGCAGGCCAAGGGAACAGCTCCCTCTGTGGGTGTCCTGATGCAGGGGGGAGCAGGGCAGGGGCGGACGCCACCCCCCATCTCTCCTCATGCCTGGAAACAGGCACCAGGGGTGACGGGCAGATAACGACCAGGCTGCCGGCTGACCAGGGAGGCCGCGGGGGCTCCTCCCGCCGTGACCAGCGGGCACAGGCCCAGCGGCCGCCGAGCTCACACTCTGCCACCACCGTCGTGAGGTCTGTGCCGGGTTTAGAACACGTGTCCCGCTGCCAGCCCGCCGGGCCTGGCCGCACAGTGCCCCTGGGGCATCTCCTCCCAGAACCAAGCCTGGCCCTGCAGGCCGGCCGGGCGGAGTGAGCTGCCGGGACCCCACAAACACGTGGGTCACATGCACGACCCCAGGCCCACAGGCTCTGGGGGGCCAGGTGCTCCTGGAGGCTCCGGGGAAACCGATTCTGGCCTTTTCCAGCACCTGGAGTCCCCTCTGCCCCCCTTCGCCCACAGACCGCCCCCTTCGCAGCTGGCCTTGGGGCTCTCTGAGCCGCCCCCAACTGGGCAAATGTGAATGTGAGCCCCGTGATGGACCCAGCCCCAGCGATGGGGCCGTCCCGCAGCCCCCCGCCCCCGCCCTGTATGCACCCTCCGGGCCGCAGCCCAGGCTCCCATCAGCACCTGCCCAGCGCCCCATCAGATGTGGGGCCCGGGCAACTCCCTCCCAGTGTCCCCAGATGTAAGGGGGATTGCTGGGGTCTCGGGTTCCCCAGCCTGTGAAAGCTGGGCAGGGAGCCGGGGGTCCCCAGCCTGTGTGCGCTGGGCGGGAGGCGGCTGCTGGCTCTGCGGGCGGGCGGGCGCGCAGACCGTGCCCCGCACAGTTCGTTCCTGTGTTTCTGTTTCTTTTTTTCTTTTTTTTTAAGATTTATTTACTTACACAGGAACCGGGGAACAGGCCAGAAGCGCGGGAGGGTGAGCGGATTCACCAGAGAGCGGGGAGCAGAGCAGGCAGACTGACGGAGGACGCTGCTGAGGGGCGCGGCGGGGAGACAGGAGAGGTCTGCGCGCCATGCGGGTTGCTCCGA